TTCAAAGGTGCATGTAACACAATCTTGCAAGTCTGTGCAAGATTTTTATATTGTGTACATGCATCCCTGAGGGAAGTTTATGTCCCATTTGTAATTTAAGGACCATATTTTCTCAGCAGGGCCCTATCCCTAGTAAACATTGTAATTATGCTTGAATGAGGCTGCAGTCCAATCCAGATGTTTAAAATGAGCAATAGGTGATATTGATCAGTTCCTAAATGAATTGTTCAAGAGTCCTTCCCAAAACTCTTCTGTTTTCCTACCTCAGATCTAGGGTTTGGAAGATAATATTTCAAATGATGCACACAAGAAACAATACAATGATGTAAGCTGTAGGTTATCCAGAAGGAACTGAATGCAGCTACTTTGCTTAGATGAATTATTTTAGAAGTTATACCACTGACGTAAATTAGATTGGAACTATAAGAAAAAATAGGTAAAACTATTCAGTGAAAATGATAATTACTGATCTCATTATGAATAATTTCTGCTTTATTTTTTAAATTTGGTGTTAAACCATTGAAACGTAGATGATTTCATGTACACTGATAATCCATGTTTCTTATCATTTAGATTTGAAACCATAGCTAAGAAAAATATTTATTTACTTACTCCACAGTATTTGTATAGCACCCTAAACAATATAGACTGGGTGGCATACAACATATTCACTGTATACCACATTCATTTCCATAGTCATGTGATAATAGGCACACAATTGAGCCAATCATTGATTTAGTTGTATTTATGTAAACATGTAAGTAGGCATAATTTTAGGGGGTTTTTTTTACTTGTTTTTCTTTTCATAGTCAAACAAAACGTCCTCTTCAAAGAGCAGAAAAAGATCTGTTCCGTGTAACTGATGATTGGCTAAGAAGATTTTGTGAATACATGGGGCAGACATGAGAGGTGATACTAAGTTGACAATGCTGAAAAGAGAGAAAATGGACTTAGGTGGTCAAAGCCAATTGTAAATAAGAACATTGTGGAAAAAGCAAGTAACTCATATTTAGAGATGGATCCTCATCAACAACTTTCTTGTTTTCACACCTGTGAATTAAAATTCTGAATTCCAGCGTGTATGTGTTTCATTTCAACACAAGAGGCAAAACTATCTACAAGAGGCTTTCCCAATCTTTTGCACTGAAATTCTAGATTCCAAGCAAATGGTGGAAACTGTAGTTCAAACACATCTGGCACCGGGTTTAGGGAAGCTTACACTCTTGTAAGAAACATTTGTTCCATGTAGCTACAAAACTGAACAATGGAATAATTTGCATAGTTTGATTGGCTGTCTCAGGCATAGAGGCAGGCAGCTGGATTTATATTGCTTTTTATGAAATTTCATTTAGCTACAGTTGACTGGTCTTTTGAGTTTTTAATTTATTATGCTTTATTTATTAGATTTCTGTACCACTGTAGTCTAAGATGTTTTGTCACACACACAAAAAAAACATAAACATCTATAGTATAAATTGAAACAATCAGCCAAAAAAGCAGTTTATCAAAATTCATACGATGGTTTCATCTCAAATTTTAAAAGTCCTTCAGAAGAACTCATCTCCCCAGTGCAATTCAAGGTGCTGGTCATTAACTTTTGAAGTATCACAAAGCTTTGAACGCAGGTATCTACTAGATTGCTTGCTTTGAATAGAATCTACCCAAAGTATGCCTGCAGAATGAGGTGTGATGGGAGGAGACTTACATGCAAGCATTTTCTGCAGGAGCGGCTTTCTTGTAGAATGGCTTCTAACCAGACATAAGATATTTAGAAAGCTTGTAGAAACTTGGCTTTTTCAGAGAGCACTTGGAATTGAGTATGTGATAGTGTGATTGTGGGAGCTTGGAATAAGATTAGTCCTATTACAATTGCTGGCTCTAGCATAAGATAGTTTGAGTGTTGTAGAATATGATGTTTACAGTATATTATTGTATATATGCTGTGAACTGCTTAAACTCTGAATGATTGAAGCAGCATAAAAACATTTTTAACAAATGAACATAAATGAATTTCTTTTGGCATATGTCTTACACCTAGGGAAAGGCTGTTCCAATAATACAGGGATCATGACGCAGACACTTCTCCTGGCCTCAGTACCCCCAACTTCAGGTGAATACCAAGCAATTTTCATGAGATGTTCAGAGCACATAGGATAATTCTGGTTGGAGAAGGTGGTCCTAGAAGCTACCTTAATAGCATGTGCTTTCCATATCAAAACCAGCACTTTAAATTGCACCTTGAAACATACTGGCAGCCACTGAAGGGCCTGTGGCACATATGCTGTTTGGATCTAATGCCATTTAACAGGTTGTCCACTGTATTTTGTATTACCTGCAGTTCCCAAATGGCTTTTAAATCCCAGGTAAAGGGCACTGTAGTAAACTGACCAGATAGTGATGAGGGTGTGATTCATGGTTGAGCTGGTAATATAATGCATTCAGGAATCTTGCCATGCCTGCAAATATTTGCTGTGCATCCATAGAGTAATACAGTTCTGTTGCAGTCTTCATCAGTCAACAAAGGGGTGTAATCTTATGTTAGAACAAGGATGAGGAGCCTGTGACATTTTGCCATAGTAGCTGGGGCTCTTGAGGGCTGTAGTTCAGCAGAATTCCACACTCTTTAAAGTCACAACTTCTACAAGTATTTCACTGCAAAAGTGAGCCTTGCATTGTTTTTTGTGTGTTAAGCTTCAATATAAATATTGAATAGTACTTTCTGCTTTGATAATTGTTTCCCAATGCAAACAAAGACTCCAAATTGCACAAAAATTTTATTCTCAGAGTAGGATCACAATTTTAAAATAGTAATAAGGGTTCTTGCTTAAGTGACTAAGACATGGAAAATAATCTTACTGTAAAGCTGAAATGCTATGTCCAAAATTGGAATTGCAGTGTGTGAAACCATGTACACCTTATTCAGGGTAAGGTTAAGCAACATTATGAGATTTATACAATGACACATCTTAATTTTGGCATCCATATAGTTGGCATTTGTCTAAAAAGCTGTAGTACCTGAGAAGAGAAAATCAAACTTATGTTATACAGCTTAAAATAGGTTTTGTGGCAGATCCTTTCTGTAAGGGTAGGAAGTCTGTGTCCCTGTTGTTTGAGTGCTAATGGATGCTATAAAGTTACTTCTCCTCAGCATTTCTTGTAGAGGCAGATTGGGGTACTGAGCCAGGTAGAAAGCTAGTGCTCCAACAAAGCTATCACCTGCTCCCTAGAAGAAAGAAAAAGGGAAGAAAATGAAATACTACAAATGGTAAATAGAAAACCCTATAAACCATGTGCTTTAAAAATCAGTACCCTAGGTTTTCATGAAGATGTAGAGGTTGAATTGTCAGTCTTAAATGTGTATATTCAAATTTGTAAACACATGGCAAGAATTAGATGTGAATGAAACGGACATATATGGATAGACTTGCTGCTTAAGTGTGACTCACCTTTTGCCATCTGTGGTTCCCAACAGATGCAGCCATTGCAAGGGAGGAGGAGGTTTCTCCACCCCTACTTTAGAATGAGTTTCATGCTGTTTTGGAAACTACTCCCTTAAAAAGGATTACATTGGCAAGAGAATTACTAGAAAATAAAAGGGACAGCGGGGCAGAATTCATGATTTACAAGTACTTATTGGGTGGTTCATGGTTTGAAAACAATTTGGAAGAAGTGTTTTAGAACTTATTCAAGTGTAACACCTATCTGCCCCTCTCACATTTGAAAAAAAGGGGAGCTTTAAGAAATAGCAAGGAGGTGCTATGTGAAATTTAAAGCATTTGTTCCAAATAGTGCTTCAAGTAGAAATGGTTTTGTTCAGTAGCATGTGCTGGGGAGGGACTGTCATAAAAATTAAAATGGAGGAAGAATCAGGACAAAACCCTGTACCTTTTATACAGGTACTGAGAACTGTATACTTTACATGCAGAAGGCATTTGGCTCTGAAGAGCTAGTTAACAATGGTGCACTTAGGAAATGTTAAATGTGATGACCTTACTGTAAGCTCCTTTTTAGATGGTATTTTATTTACAAAAACAAGGCTTTGAGGTGTTCTTTTGCATTCTGCACAGTGGAGCCATAGATTTTGACACTTAATAGAAGCTTCATCCATATGTGACTATTATAATTTTACATTTCCACAAAATATCAGCAAAGCCCAGAATTATGTTTACTTTTCAGAGAATTTATACTTCCATTTTCTTGAAAAGTTTACTTCTGACTCATGGTATTCTAAATATATCCTTCATATAGCTAAAACCAAAAAAACAGAAGTGTGGCTACAGTAGGTTTTGGTGAGGCTTAAGTATTTAAGTCCTTCTGTGACATCAGAAAAAGCTATGTGTGTTGGCTTGATTTGCACATATTAAGGTACACAATTTCTGCACTACTTCCTCAGAATTATGACTACTTTCAGTGCATTCAGAAAGTATTCAGACCTTCACTTTTTTCAATTTTGTTATGTTGCAGCCCGATACTACAATTGTTCAAATTCATTTTTTCTCATTAATCTATACTCAGTACCCCATAATGCCAATGTGAAAACAGAATTTTAGAAGTGTCTGTAAATTTATCAAAAAGAAAAAACTGAAATATCACATGTACTTAAATATCCAGACCCTTTACTCAGTACTTCGTTGAAGCACCTTTGGCAGCAATTACAGCAAGTCTTTTTCGGTATGATGCAACAAGCTTTGCACACCTGATTTGGGGGATTTTCTGCCATTCTTCTTGGCAAATCCTCTCAAGCTCAATCAGGTTGGATGGGCACTATCAGTGGACAGCCATTTCCAGGTCTGTCCAGAGATGTTCAATAGGGTTCAAGTCAGGGCTCTGGCTGGGCCACTCTAGGACATTCAC